AAAAAAAAAGAATCTCACAGACTCTCCTGGTTTGGAATGGTGATCCTCATATCTCAGCCTCCAGATTAGCTAAGATTATAGGCCTGAGCCACCCCCACCTAGCTGAATTGCATTTCTTCCACTGCACTTACTGCTCAGTTGTTTGTAGTAGAACATTGTCTATACTATCATAGCTCCTCCAAACAGTAGAGCACAATAGAGCACTACAACCTGTACATTATAGAACAAATAAAAGGTAGACAACCTATGACACAATTTAAAGAAGTAAACACAAAGAATACATGCATAAATTTTTGCACTTACAGAAACTGAGGCCATTAAACAAAGTTAATTAGGCATAAATGTATATCAGAAACGAATATGTAAAAAGGAGGAAGAATAAAAGGAAAACCTAGATCTAAAAACTGCTAATTTATGGTAGCCAGGAAAGATTCTCGTTTTTGTTTGTTTTCAGAACTGGAGTTTGAACTTGAGGCCTTATACTTGCGAGGCAGGCACTCTACCACTTGAGCCATGCCCTCAGCTGTTTTTGCATTAGTTTTTTTTTTGGGGGGGTCCGGTTGTGGGGCCTGAACTCTGGGCCTGGGCGCTGTCCCTCAGCTCTTCAGCTCAAGGCTAGAGCTCTACCGCTTGAGCCACAGCACCATTTCCGACTTTTTTCTTTTTGCTTATGTGGTGCTGAGGAATCAAACCCAGGGCCTCATGCATGCAAGGCAAGTGCTCTACCACTGAGCCACCTTCCCAGCCCTGCATTAGTTATTTTTTAAGCAAGGTCTTGGATATTTGCCTGGGGCTGGCCTCAAACCATAATCTTACTGACAACTCCCAAGTAGCTGGGGTTTACAGAAGCATATTCCCGTATCTGTCTTAGTGGATTGAGTTGGATGTCAACAACTTTTTTTTTTTTAACCTAGGTTGGCCTGGAACCTCCCATTCTTTGTCTCCTCAGGAGTGTAGATTACAGTCATATACAATTTAGCAACCTGGATTACAAGCATGTGTTACTGCATCTGGCCTCTCAGGAAATTGTTTATAAAAGATAACTTAGAGGGGGGCTGGGAAGGTGGCTCAGTGGTAGAGTGCTTGCCTCACATGCATGAGGCCCTGGGTTCGATTCCTCTGCACCACATAAGCAGAAAAATCTGGAAATGGCACTGTGGCTCAAGTAGTAGAGTGCTAGCCTTGAGCTGAAGAGCCAGGGACAGCGCCTAGGCCTAGAGTTCAAGCCCCATGACAGATTCCCCCCCCCAAAAAAAAAGGTAACTTAGAGGGCTGGGAATGTGGCTTAGTCATAGAGTGCTTGTCTAGCATACATGAAGCCCTTAGTACCACATATACAGAAAAGGCCAGAAATCGTCTGTGGCTCAAGTGGTAGTGTGCTAGCCTTGTGCAAAAGAAACCTGGGAACAGTGCCCAAACCCAGAGTTCAAGCCCCACCAATGACAAAAAAAAAAAAAGCCTAATTACGACAGGTAGTTCCAGGCTGGGAATGTGAATGTGGCTTAGTGGTAGAATGCTTGTCTAGCATGCATGAAGCCCTGGGTTCCATTCCTCCATACTACAGAAACAGAAAAAGGCTCAAGCGGTAGAGTGATATAGCCTTAAGCAAAAGAAGCTCAGGAATAGTACCTAGGCCCTGAGTTCAAGTCCCAGGACTGGCAAGAAAAACAAAAAACAAAAACAAAAAACAGGTAGTTCCTTAATTATAACTGAAGTTTTCATATAACTAATAGGCTTCTAGAATCTCAGTTGTTTCCAACATGCAATGACAAATTATAATGCTGAAAATTATATTACCCTTGCAATTTTTTTTCACCTCTTCTAAAGAATAAAATCCAATTGAGGAGCTGGGAAGGTGGCTCAGTGATAGAGCGCTTGCCTTGCATGCATGAGGCCCTGGGTTCAGTGGTAGAGCACTTGCCTTGCATGCATGAGGCCCTGGGTTCGATTCCTTAGCACCACATAAGCAAAAAGAAAAAAGCCACAAGTGGCGCTGTGGTTCAAGTGGTAGAGCGCTAGCCTTGAGCTGAAGAGCTGAGGGACAGCGCCCAGGCCCAGAGTTCAGGCCCCACAACCGGACCCCCCCCCAAAAAAAAAGAAAAGAAAAGAAAAAAAATCCAATTGAGAAGGAAAAAAAATCACTGAAGTTGTTTCTATCTTCTATTTTTAAACAGCTTTCCAAAAAAAGTCATGGGAAATTTATTTTCTCTTTAGCACTGTATCCAATTGACAAAATGGAATGCTTCTGAAAATAAAGAAAATGTGGGCTGGGAAGGTGGCTCAGTGGTAGAGCGCTTGCCTTGCAAGCATGAGGCCCTGGGTTCAATTCCTCAGTACCACATAAGCAAAAAAAAAAGCCAAAGTGGTGCTGTGGCTCAAGTGGTAGAGCGCTAGCCTTGAGCTGAAGAGTTGAGGGACAACGCCCAGGCCCAGAGTTCAGGCCCCACGACCAGACCCCCCCCCAAAAAAAATAAAATGTGGGAAAAGTCTGTTTAGGTTTCTGTAAAACATGATAGAGACTCTCTTCCATTTTACCAGGTTAGCTGCAAGCATAGCATAAGGGGAAAGGAAGAGAACAAAAACTCTGGGGACTCTATCATCATACTATTCCACTGAGCTATGGACATCTGCCTGGATGATCTGCTTCTCACTGAGGCTACTGGCCCTCAGCAAAAGCTGAATGTAAAAAGCATCCACTGTAGTTGGGTGCTGGTGGTTCACGCCTGTAATCTTAGCTACTCAGGAGGCTGAGATGTGAGAATCACAGTTTAAAGCCAGCCCAAGCAGGAACATCCATGAGACTCTTATCTCCAATAAACCAACAGAAAACCAGAAGTGGCACTGTGGCTCAAGATAGAGCACTAGCCTTGAACTAAAGAGCTCAGGGACAGCGCCCAGGCCCAGAGTTCAAGCCCCATGACCCACAAAAAAAAGAAAAAAAATCCATTGGGAATACATGCATGGTAGATGATTAACGGAATAGTTTGAGAACATATAGTTACATGTATTTATAATACACATATGTATATTGTGCACATATGTACCATCAATTCTTTCCTTTAGTTCTCTAAGTAGAACTTTAAAAGAACAGAAAAACATATGCACCTACCTGATATTTGTCTTAATATACTTTTTCCTGCTACATTTACTCATTATCAAGACATGTGCAATCAAAGCTTTGCTCCTTCCTCCTTTTCTTCTTTATTTATCCTGAAGGAAAAGCATAATGATGAATTAAAGATCATAATATTTTACTTTAAAATTTAAAGTCTCTCACCAGCAAAAGTATTCCAAATTCTATAAAGCTAAAAATCACCACAGAATGGAAAGCTGAAAACAACTCAGCATTATTGGGCTTTTTCAATTTTATGATCAATCTATTATCCAATTTTATTTAGGTTTTTGTTTTGTTTTGTTTTTTGGTCAGGACTGGAGCTTGAACTCAAGGCCTTGTACTCTTATTTTGACTTTTTTTTTTTTTTTTTTGGTCGTGGGGCTTGAACTCTGGGCCTGGGCGCTGTCCCTCAGCTTTTCAGCTCAAGGCAAGCGTTCTACCCACTGGAGCCACAGTGCCACTTCTAGCTTTTTCTGTTCATGTGGTACTGAGGAATTGAACCCAGGGCTTTGTGTATGCTAGGCAAGAACTAAGC